TAATAACTTTTCAAGTGGAAACCTTTGCAATCCATGACTACTACAGGAAAAGAAGTCAGCTGATGAGCATTATTACTTAGCGAAGCAGTGAGAAAGCGAGGAGGAAGATATGAAATGTTCAGATATTTCAATACACTAATGTCAATAGTCAAAAGGTAAAGTGCATGAAGAAACATATGATGAGTCTCCCTCCCTGTTATGAGGAGGTAAAAAAGATGTTAGTATGTGTTTCTTTCTGTTCTACTGCTGGTTTTTGCTTTTATAATATTTTGTAAGACTAAAAATATTATAAATTTGAATTGTGTTTCATGTTCATAAGGTCATAGGTTAGATTGTAAGAGTCTTAAGTCATATTTGGTACATTTCCTTTTGTTTTGTATTTTTTTTAATCTCTAGTGTAACCACGGTATTCCTCTGCCATAAGTGAGGGTTTGTTAATAAAATTCAGAGGTACCGTCCTCTTTTCTTTACCAAAACAATTAAAATGGAGAATGGAATGTTTATTCAAAGCATATTCCATTTCTCCAAACCACAAATTGTCATGCTATTAAGTGTACCTAATGCTGCAGGGACAATAGCTGTATGGTAAGTATTCTTGCCTTAAATATTTTCAGCTGCTATGAGATTGAGAAGCATAGAAAACAATATCATCTAAAATTGATTCTTTTATACTCTCACACATTCTAACATATCACATACAATGAATATATTATCTTCACAACTTGCTCTTTAAATGAGAGCTTATCTCACTTGGTGTTTCAACATTCATCTAGTCTTCTTGAGAATATCGAAAGCACAAAAAATTTTCATTTCAAGTACCTACTGTTCAAAATCTATTTGTCTCTTCTTAAGCATAAATATTAGACACACTATAATTTTGAGAATGAATCACCAAGTTCATGATGAAATTCATTAATCTCTAATCTCCTTACATATTCTCATCACATATTCATTCCTTTATATCGCTGTAAGATTAAAAATATTATAAATTTGAATTGTGTGTTTCATGGTCATGAGGTCATGTTTAGGTATAAGATCCTATGTCATAGTTTATACATTTTCATTTTGTTTTGTACTTTTTTAATCTTTAATATGACTATGATATTTCTCCGCAATAAGTGAGGGTAGGTTAATAAAATTTGGAAGTATCATTCTCTTTCCTTTACTATGTAGTTAAGTGGACAATTACGTTTTCTTATTCAAAGTGTAACTATTTTATTTTTCCAAATCACAAACCGTCAAATGCATTGTGAAGTGTAAATTAAGAATTTAATTTCAAAGAATCAATCAAGTGAATTTAAGCGGACCCTTGTAGGAATGCATGATTTTATTTCAATGGAGCGTAGAAATAAAAGAGTGAAGTTGTACTATCAATTTTTCAAAATTTATCGCCATTGTATATAGGTTTCTGTTTTTTAAAATGTATGTGTAAATTTTTTAAATGAAAAATTGCACAATTTTTTGATTTAATTGTCTAATTGAAATTTCATTCATATCAATATAAATTCAAAATCTATAATCAGATGCATTATTCAACTTAGAAGACGTATAGTATATGGTGCAATTTAAAATCTCAATCTCAAATTTATTTTCACTTTGAATAGGAAAAATGATGGATAAATCTCTCTAAAATAAAAAATAATAATTTGATCTCTCAAATATAATAATAGTAGCAAGGTACCAAAAAACCTCTTTGAGATTAAATTTTTCTGTGAAATTACTTTAGTATCTTTCTGCAATTTAGAAAGATGTGATTTTTAAATCGTTTTAGGGCCTATTTGGATTTCATAATTGATTAATGTGATTAATTTTAATTATAATTGATTATGTTATAACGTAATCTATTTAGATACTATTTTTTAATATTTATTTTAGCTGTACAAATTACCACAAAGGACATTATTTTTCAAAAATAAATTATTGATAAAATTATATTTATTATTATTAAATTTGTTAAACTTTATTTAAGAAGTGAAATATATTATTTAACAGTAAAATTGAATTTATAAACAATCTTTAAAACTTATTTCAAAACATGATTCTGACTCAATAATCAATTATTAACTTTTTTTTTTTGGCTATTTGGGTAATATGATCATTGTTTTCTAAAAAAAATTCTCAAGAATTACTAATTTTAAACACGACTCATTTAAAAAACAAGCTTAATGTGCCATGTGATGGGGTCTTGATATTATATTATAATATCAAACTCATTCAAAAGCTGCTCCCCCCAACTTAAGCCAAAAATTAATTTTGGGTTAAATAATTGATTATGAGCAGATTTGATTGCTTGGGGTAATTTTCAGTGAAATCAATTATTTGGTAAAAAAAAAATCATTATTGGCATCCAAACATGCAATTAGTCATTGGTGGAACTAAATTTATAAATTGTTATACTTAACTAGTAAATTATATAAAATTATTTAGACTTTGCTCATTAAAGAAAATTGCTAATAAAAAGTTATGATTTCTTAAATAATTTTTGTTATTAGTGGAACCTAATACTTATATTAAACCTGTGAACTATATAAAATTAATTGTAGATGAGTATTAAAGTAATTTTATAGAGAAATTTAATATCAAAAAAGTTTTTTAAGATCTTAATGTTATTATCACATTTTGCTGGACCAAATTATTATTTTTTTATTTTAGAATGATTTATCTATCATTCTCCAATTTGAATATGTAATTTTAAAATTAAGAATAAGTATGCATCATTTGGAAAAAAATCATCATGCATGACTTAACTTGACTCAAAAGTATAAGATACCTTTTTATAAGAGCAATTTGTGTATATATTTCTTTAAAAAATACCAACAGGGTTGAGTTTAGCTGAGGAAACTCGGTCCTCATAATATGAAAAACTATGGTTCGAATTCTTACTAAAAAAAATATTGATATTTAATATTTAATTATTTTTTGAATAGAATTGTATTCAATAGAAAATATAAATAGTTTTAAAATAAATATACGTTGGACCAAAAGCATAAATAAAAAATTGTTTAATCTAATCAATAGATACAATCATACAAAACTATAAACTGATAAAAAAGAACAAAAGGGAAACGGAGAGAAAAGAGCATTTATTAAATCACTACTCACTACGCTATAATTCTAATAAAAGTAAAGTGAACATTGATTATATATTTGTGCAAATTTTATATTCTTAAATTCATCATTGATTAATTTAACATTTGTACTTAGCTGGATTGACTGTTCGGGAATCATCGGTGAGGTGCTGAGAAACATTTTTCTGCTTTTTCTTGTTATTTGCACATACTCTTTCTTGTTCTTCTTGGTTTGATCATCCTCTCTGGGTTTGGCGTGTTTGTTTTGTGGAGGTATTTTTCTTCCAGGATGCCTTTACCGAGTTGTATCAACTCTCAGCTAGATTTCTGCGGCAACCATTATCTTTTTCTGTACGTACATGATCATAGAATCCTCCATGCCTCTAAACTTCAAGCTCTTATTAACTTTTACTGGAAGTTGCGCGGTCAAGTCCGAGTAATTCAACAACAACTTTCATACCTTGTTCTATACTTTAGTTTTGTTGCTTTGGATGCCTCTTTCATCCTTCGTCATGGTACCTGATACTTAGAAGGTTATACGTTGTCTGTTTCTGTTTTGGAAGAGAATTAATCCATTTCAACAGCCAGGTTTCAATATTTTCACATTTGGGTTCGTGCTTATGGTTTGCCTTTGGAATATTTTTCCAAAAATACAGCAGCTTATATTGGCAACCAGATTGTACCTTTCTTTGATATTTTCTCTCAAAATCGATGGCATCTCACTAAGAAGGGCAGATTTACCATGGGATTTCACTCATGTTTCCCAGGGCTACAATTTTCCACTCAGACGTCTGTTAATTAAAGGATCAACCATTAATAATTCTTGAACAGCTTGTTCTTTTTCTGCCTTCTTTCATTGCCACGTACGTCCTATGCATTTGGATTTTAATTCATCAACCTGTGGCCCACATACTTCCCAAATTACTTTCACATAAGAAAATCGACTTGGCTCTTTATCTCCTTCCGTCAGATGCTGTATCATCTTAGAGCAAGTCATCAAGATGGGCCTTCTACGCCAACATCTGATCTTCCTTCAACACAACTAGACGTTGCTAATCTGAGTTTTGTTGCAACTTCTACAACAATTTCTGCCTCTTGTGTGCGTCATGGGCTCTGTTTCTTGGTGCGGTTACAGAGGTTGCAAATCAAGACAGTTTTCACGGGGTTTTGTCCAAAAAACCTCGTATTGATCCATGATTTTTGCTGAGGACCTTCTTGTTTGGCAGCTGCATGGTGGCCCATTTTAGTGAGCTGCTTGGTTTGTTTTTTCAGCTTTATTCGGTTTGGTTTTCTAGGTGTCTGTGTTCATGTGTCTGCCTCAGGTTTTCAACATCACTGTCTGGCTGATGAGTTCACACCTTCGCCATGGCTTCCCATTAAGCTATGGTATGTCAAATCCTATCGGAGATTTCAATTGGAGTTGACAAAGAATCAACCCAGCAATTTGCTCGCTGGTTTTATTTGTTATTCTGATTGGCTTTTTGAGGTGGTTGGCATTGCTTTAAGCGCGAGCAAACGAACACTTCATCAGCATGCAGTTTTTGGCGAAGACTTGGACCTTTTGATGTTGGTGGTCAACTGGCTTTTCAAGCTAGTTACTTGTCCGTGTGGTCAGTCAGTATTTTTTGTTCCTTTATTTTTGGCTGTCGTACTTTTCACTTCGTTTTTGTTTAATGTTGGGTCTTCATCGTTGTTGGCCATTAATTATTACAAAAAAAATTAATGGCTTTTGTTCGTAATCGTTTTATTCTTTAATTTGAAGTTTGTCTTCTTCAAAAAACAAAAATAAAAAAATAAAAAAAGCTGGATTGATTGTTCTTGCTTTTTAAATGAAAAGAGATAAAAATAAAACAGAATATTCAGAGCCAATTCCACTCTTTTATTTATGGGTTGAGTGGAGCTGGGATTTTTTTCATGTGCGAGCTTTTATCACTAATAAACAATAATTTTAGGACTTGAACTCTACTTAGGCGTGCTTAGTTCAGTTAGTTAAAAGAATTGAATTGATTTGTGTTCAATAAAAAAAAAAAAAGAATTGCATTAATTTATCCGTGATCTCGAATTCCACGATGCGGTTGGTTGACCTTATTGAACATTTGTGAACACGATTTCAAAGTCAAGGCGTGGAAGCAGCAAGTTAAATCTTTCATCGTCGATCGCCTAGAAGTTTCACTTCCGTCCTTACCCAAATTTTCTCGAGCATTCAATTGGGTTCACTTCTTCGTTTCAGCTGAATTCCTCTTCCTTTCACTCAGAAACTCATGGCAGAGCTAGTTGGTGGAGCATTTCTCTCTGCAACCCTTCAGGTGGCTTTTGATAGATTGGCTTCTCGCGATATACTTGACTACTTCCGTGGCAGAAAACTCAATGAGGGCTTGCTCAAAAGGCTTCACATCATCCTTATATCTATTAACCAAGTTCTTGAAGATGCGGAGGAAAGTCAGTACAGAAACCCCAATGTGAAGCAGTGGCTTGATGAGCTTAAAGATGCTGTCTTTATTGCTGAGGACCTCCTGGATGAGATTGCAACTGAGGCATCGCGACAAAAGCTGGAATCTGAATATCGAGCCACCACGAGTAAGGTACGAGAAGTTTTAACCTCTTTTGTTAATCCGTTTAACAATGAAATGGAATCAAGGATCATACAAGTGCTTCAAAACCTAGAGTTCCTAGTAAAGCAAAAAGATGTGCTGGGATTGAAGGAACGCTTTGGTGCTGGTAGTGATACAGGTGTGGGTAGAAAGCTGTTGAATAAACTGCCAACAACATCTTTAATTGATGAATCTATCATGTATGGTAGAGATGTTGATAAAGAGGCATTATTTCAGATTCTCTTGTCAAACAAAATGAGTAGCAGCGAGCCGCCCATGCAAGTAATTACTATCGTGGGTATGGGTGGTGTGGGTAAGACCACTCTTGCGCAGCTTGTGTACAATGACAAAAGGATGGAGGATCTGTTTCAACTTAAAGCTTGGGTGTGTGTTTCAGAAGAATTCAATGTTGTTCAAGTCACAAAAGCAATTCTTGAAGCAGTTGCTTGTTCCACTAAAGAGTTCAATGACTTGAATTTGCTTCAACTTCAGTTAAGGGAAAGATTGATGGGGAAGAAATTTTTCCTTGTGCTCGATGATGTTTGGAATGAGAATCGTACAACTTGGGAGATCTTGCAAGCTCCCTTCAACTATGGAGCTCGAGGAAGTAAAATTTTTGTAACAACTCGCAATAAAAAGGTAGCATCAGTTATGCACTCTGCACATATACATCATTTAAAACCTTTAGCAGAAGAAGATTCTTGGAAATTATTTGCAAAGCATGCATTTAATGACCAACTTAGTGGTATGGATTCAAATCTTGTATCAATTGGTAGAAAAATTGTCAAGAAATGCGGAGGATTGCCTTTAGCAATAAAAACTTTAGGTAGCATGTTGCACAGAGAACAATCTTGTCAGGAATGGGCTAATATATTAGAGAGTGATATATGGCATTTATCAGAGGATGACAGCAACATAATTCCAGCTTTAAGATTGAGTTACCATTACCTACCTTCAAATCTGAAATGTTGTTTTTCTTTTTGCTCTGTCTTTCCAAAAGATTATGAGATAGACAAGGATCTCTTAATCCAGTTGTGGATGGCAGAAGGTTTAGTGCATTCTTGGCGAAAAGACCGAAGCATTGAGGAAGTGGGCAATGAATTCTTCAATGATCTGGAGTCAAGATCATTTTTTGAGCCATCAAGGAGAAGAAATGGTCGATACTTCATTATGCATGACCTTTTGAATGATTTAGCAAAATCAGTGATGGGAGAATTTTGTTTTCTGCTGGACAGCAACTCTTCACAAAATATTCATGTGAAGACTCGCTACTTTTCATACTTGAGCACAAATGATCTCAAATACGTTGACAGTACCATTTTCAATTGTAACCATTTACGCAGCTTCCTGCCACTTAAGCTCAATAACCCTATCAGTTGTAATGTGATGGGTAATCTCTTTTCTAGACTTGATTGTCTCAAGTATTTGCGAATGTTATCTTTGTCTGGGTACAAGAATGTCAAAGAGCTTGTGGATGATTTGAGTAATTTAAAACATCTACGTTATCTTGATATTTCTTTCACTTCAATTAAAGAGTTGCCTAATTCAATCTGTTTGCTGATTAATTTGCAAACGTTGAAATTAGTCAACTGTTGTCACTTGACTGAATTGCCTTCAGATTTGCACAAGCTCATCAATTTGCGTCATCTTGATTTGCGTGGGACCAGCATACAAAAGATGCCTGAGCATATGGGAAAGCTAGAACATCTTCGAACATTAACTCGTTTTGTCGTGGGAAAAAATAGAGGATCTGATATGAAGGAGTTGGGGAAGTTAAGCTATCTAAGAGGTACAATATCTATTCTAATCCTAGACAGTGTCATTGATCCTATAGATGCCAAGGAGGCCAATATGAAAGAGAAGAAATATTTGGAAGAATTAGTGTTGGAATGGTGTAAAAGCAATGAAGATTCACAGCACGAAAGGTGCATCTTGGAGTCTTTCCAACCTAACAAGAATCTGAAAAAGCTCACTATTAATTTCTATAATGGAACTAGATTTCCGAATTGGTTCGAGGCTCCTTATTTACCTAATTTAGTGTCTCTTCAGCTGAGTGGAAGTAACTATTGTTTTTGTTTGCCACCCCTCGGACAGCTACCCTGTCTCAAGCAGCTCCAAATCTACAAGTTTGTTGAAATAGAACTGATTGGACCTGAATTTTATGGGGATAGTTCATCAGGTGCTCCATTTAGATGCCTGGAATGTTTAACATTTTCACACATGAAACAATGGGAAGAATGGAATACATGTTATGAAGGTGAAAGTTTCCCGTGTCTTCAAGAGCTTCAAATATGGAATTGTCGCAAGTTGAGAAAGTCCTTGCCTCAATTTCTTCCTTCTCTGAAAATTCTAAATATTAGCAACTGTGAAAATCTTGAGGCTCCACTTCCCAATGCCTTTCCCTTGGACCAGCTTATGTTAAGCAATTGTAAGATTTCACTGCACGATGTGCCAAACAGCTTGACAAGCATGTCCATGTCTGGAATTAGAATTAATGAGTCCTGCCTGAACCATATTCTGCTCAGTAACCCGTCTCTTGGACAACTGTACCTGAGTAGTTGTGATGAACTTGTGTCACCCTCTATAAGTGGGATTGGATTTTCAACTTCCAAGCTTACTTCCATGTTCTTTGATAAGTTGAGTAATCTAAAGTCACTTCCTGATGACATGCATATCATTTTTCCATATCTTCATTCTTTGACATTGTGGGACTGTCCAGAGCTAGAATCACTTCCCCTAGAAGGTTTGCCTCCAAGCCTTGTTGAACTTACAATCATCCGTTGCCCCAAACTCTTTGCTTCCCGCATGAGCTGGGGCTTGCACAAGCTTTTTTCTCTACGACACATCACTTTTAGTGTTGAGTTAGAGAGTGAGGAGTCATTCCCAGAGGAAGCATTGCTCCCACCTAATGTCACATCTCTCACCATGAAAAATTGCTCAAATCTAAAATCAATAAATTACAAGGGTCTTCTCCACCTCAAGTTTCTTGAATCCTTGTGTGTTTGGGATTGCCCCTTATTGTGTCCCCAAGGCTTGCTAGAGAAGGGTCTACCCAAGTCGCTTTTGCGGTTAGAAATTTGGGGCAATTGTCCATTGCTTAAGGAGCAGTTCCAAGAGGAGAAAGGACAAGGGTGGCCTGAACTTTCTCACATCCCTCATGTGTGCACTCATTAGATAGAGATTCTTAAAGATACTTGAACATTGGTTCTTGTGATTTCAAAGGTACTTTTTCTTTCCTAGACCTCTTGTTTGTATGTCTGGTATTTCTTTGTCTTATCTTTCTTTCCTCATGTTTGTAATAAAAGGCACCTTCAGTTCATGAAAATTTGCTAAGAGGATCATATTTTAAATGTTGGAGACTTGGCACAGTTGCTTGGTGGGGTTGCTTTACGCAGTTTTTTCTTTTAAAAAAAAAAAAATCGTATACTGTAAAATATAATGATACTGCCCCTATTGACATAACCTTGAATTTCCATCCACTGTGTGTTTTGCTTGCTGTACAGAGACAATATATGGAAGTATAAACTTTTTCCTTCCAAAACTCTTGTAAATTTTATGAAGTAGCACCTTGGCAAGCAGAAACTAGACAACTAGTAACCATTTTGTTCTTTTTTTTTTCTGTTACTATTTTAAATTGGATTGCATTTATGCGTATGTGACGACAGAGAGTTTCTCTTAAGCTTTTATCAGTTTTCCTTTAACAAGATGATTATGTATTTATATCTACTTGTGATTAGAGCTGTAGTTCAACCACATATAAACGTTGCTTCATAAGAAATCAAGGTAAAAACTGAACTATTCTTTCCTATATATAATGAACAACAAATAATGATGAAATATCATCCTATATCTATGAATTTCCTCAGTTTAAGTGCATTGTTTGCATAATATTTTCAAATTGCATCTATTGTAAACATTTTGCGCTTAGAATTAGTCAATAATAATGAAAAACCCCTTTCTTAATGCTTTGCTTACAGTAAGATGCTGTTTTTATTTTTTATATTTAATAATTTCAGAAACACCATCTGATCGCTCACACATGCATTTTAGGGTTATAAAATTTATAAAATTTCTATTCATACTCCAATATATATTCCTAGCTGGAGACCATATTGAAAGAAAAACTCATTTGTATTTTTCGTGGTCAGCGTACAATTCATTGTTCATAATTATCAGTGTCCATCTAGCATTGAAGTTTTGCTCCTTTCTTCTTCTCCTTCTTGGGGCTTGGGAGTGGTGAGGACATAAGCCACTTTCAAACTTGTGAGAAGAAATCTTATCGTCCTTTGCTATCTTAGAATGTTGCCTCCTTCAAATCTTTCCAGTTTCATAAAATTTGTTGTCAACTCCTTCAAAGAAGCCATTTGCAGTATGAAATGTGGCAAACCCAATGGCGTACAGTATTATTGTTAATTGTTAGAAAAGATCCATAATATGTTCTGGCATTGTCCCAACACTGTTATTTCCCTGCAAGTATGATGTATGATTATGGCCAAAGCTGTGAGCGTACTTGAATATAGCAGTTGGCAGATTTGTTTTTCCAGACTTTCTTTAGATAAAGATGCTTCTTTTTGCACCTTTGATCATACCCCATCTTGAATTCAAGAGGTAGTGGATGATGAGAGGCATAGAAGAGATTTTTTGGTGACTTGATTTTAGTCTTTTTTATTGATGTTAATGTCCACGCTGGATATTGAACCTATTATCTCAGAATGTTCTAAACCCAGCTCATGTGCTATATTAATGGGGAGCAGCCTAACATACTACAAACCCAAGCAGGAGGGGAATGCAGTAGTGATAGAATGAAATGGTTCTATTTGCTTCTGCTGTGTAGTTATCAATGTTGTCAAAACTGGACTAGGTATTAAACTGGTTATGGTACTAGTTCATTGAGCTGTGATCAGATCGTGGTTCGACCGGTCTCAATTTAAGTCTAATTTTCTTGTCTTTTCTTTCCATAACAGAAGTTGCTCACAAAAGTTCAGTCAATTCCACCTGCAAGGGCGTGCAATGTTGAATGTTAATCCAAGGTCTCTTATTCACTCTCTTGATAGACTTGCACATGGACACATTAATTGACGACGGATAGATCAAAGATTTTGTTTATTATCAATCCATAGTGACTTTTTCCCCTTTTTGGTTGAAGGCAAAATTGAACTCTGACTATATTTTATAGCCAATCTCAAGTCTAGATAAAGAAAGAAGGTTGTGTTAGGACTCAACAACCAACATAAAATTCTGTCAAATTTCACATGAATATGGACAATAAACTTTTTTTATTGTTGTTGGTTGTTAAAAGAGGCCTAACAGCTGGTTCATCGATAGATGAGTTGTTTAGTCGTATAGTTCATTATTCAAACTTATGAACATCATGACTTGTTCCAAGTTGTTTTTTACCTTTGGCAAAGATTTGTTTTGCGTTTCTCTTTTGTAAATATATAGATATACAAAAAGAGAATCCTTTCTTGTTATTCTGATTATATCACTGCTAATATTAATTCATTTTCTATACTATGGTGGTCACAATTTAATTTAATTTGTGTCTCCTTATCACAAATGAATTTTTGTTTGACATATAGAAGAGTAACTTATCAAGCAGGAACATTCGTGATCCACAACTACTACAACGAAGGAAATCAGCCGCAGAGTAGACTGCTCGCGAAAGTAGTAAGAAAGAAGAAGAAATGAAATTTTCTAGAATTTCAGTACACTAATATAATGCCTAAATAAAGCTAAAAGGTGCTTGAAGATATATAGAATTAGAGAGAGTAATTTGGATCAATTCAGATAAGTTTAAAAAATTTGAGGGTTGAGCTTGAAAATTTTAGAAGTTTTCTTTATTTCAAAACTTATTTAGGTGCAAGAATAAATTCAAAGAAATTCAGGTTAGGTCCGAACCTAAATAGGTTTAACATGAATATTTGAATTCATTTTTAATTATTAGTAAAACAATATAAAAATTGAAAATATTAATTTTTAAAAAATAAAAATTAAATTAAATAAAAAATAAAAAAGTAAAGTAAATTAAAATAATATTTAACAATGTAGGTATTCAGAAAAGCTTGAGAGATTTGGGTAAGGCGTAACTATATGGGTCTTTTTTTATATGGTATAATATTTTAAGCTTCATCTGAATGGACTCAACTTGAATTGAACCCAACCTGATTAACCATGACTTATGAAAATTACCAGCTCCATATAGAATGAGTCACCTCGTAGTAGAGTTGTCAATTAGGGCCAGCTCTATCCTAAAGAGTTGGCCCTTGAAGGGCTAGGGCCTAAACGGTTTGGCTTTAATAAGTCCGATTACATATCAGGATTTTCTTTTACAAGGCCCGGTTCTAGCCCTCAGGGTTGAAAGGTCGGTCCTCAGGGCCTCGGTCCTATTTTTTTAATTTAAAATTATAAAAAATATATTTATAATCATAAAAAAGTTATTATACATAAAATTAAGTTTAAGAAAATAAATTTAAATTAATTTACACCATAACAATAAAAAAAACTTAAACATTCAGGTCTAATATCATATAGCAACATCAAAGTTAATATCAATTAAAATTAGACTTAGCTAACATTATCAATTAAATCTTAATAAATGAATGAAGGATGGATGAGTGAGTTTAATATGCTCATTTCTTTGAATTATATATTTAATATTTTATTTTTTTATATTATAAATTTTTTTAAAAAAATAAAAGGACTTAAAAGGGCCAGCCCTAGCCCTAAAGGGTCGGCTCTTTTATTTTTGAGCTTAAAAGGGCTGATCCTTTTAAGTTTAAATTATTATTTTTTCCTTCAAAATAGCGGCCCAATCTTAGTTATTTTCAGGCTTAAAAGGGCTGACTTGACAGGCTCAGCCCTAATTCATAGCTCTACCTCATAGTATTAAGAAAGTAAAAATGCCTCAAGAAGTTGGTCTTTATTTCGGTTTTCATTTGTTTGTTCGAGTCCATAGTGTAATTATGGTATTCCTCCACTGTAAGAGAGTTTTTTTTTTTTGGCAATATTTTTTTTTCAAAAATTACGGACTTACATTTATTTTCTTACATGACTGTAAGAGAGAGTTTATTAATAAAATTGAGAGGCATTATCCTCCTCCTTTTTTTATTTTTACGATCTGCCATTATTTTGAAGCATTACTACGCTGTGAATCAATTCTTTGTTTTTTTTTTTAAAGACTGTTACAGATAAACTTTTTCTCATTTGAAGAAACTTTCCGAAATCTTTTCTTTTGTGCTTTTAAATACATCAATACAGTGGAATTTTGAAATTGAGCTCAGCAAGTCAGAGAGAAGTGAGTATTTTGCCATGCTTTGAATATGATAGCCTTTGTTATCCTTTGGACATAAATTAATATTTTTTAAAACAAATAAGAATTAAGAGTAACCTACTAATGCTAAGCACAAATTTACTATTTAAATTTAATTAATAAAAATTTATAACCTCAAGTAATTTAGAATGAAATCCTTGCAATTGTGATATGAGAAAGTTTTGTACTCCCACCGTTTCAAATTATAAAATACTTTTAGAGAAAATTTAGCGTTTTAAAATATAAGACACTTTAATAATAATAATAAGGTTTCATTAATGATTTTTTAATACTACCCTTGCCATATATTATTTCTCTCCAATATTCTTTCATCAATGGAATATTAAATGAAGGGTATTTTTAAAATTTTATATTTTTGTCTTAAAAAAGTAAAATTGTTAAGTGTATTTAATGAGGTTTATTAATATGTGAGATTTTATCTAAAAGTATTTTATAATTTGGTATGGAGGGAGTATATTAATAAGAGAGCGCAGACTTCATTTCTATTTTCAATTTATTACCAACTTATCAATTATTGATACTTTATCAAATTGACATGTTGAATCTAGCATAAATGCATACACAAGCCTAAGTAATATCAAAATCTCAGTAAATCATAAAAGGAAAAACATTGAATTCATAGTCTTTTTTATGAATTATTTTATCTAAAAAGGTTGATGATTAGTTACTTTCTTCTATTTTTACTTTTTTACAATTTTCAATATTTAGGAAGTAGCAAAAAGTTAGAGGAAAAAGAAAGTGTTCTCAAAGAGATGCATATCACAAGAAAATTGATTTTCCCCCAAAAAAAAGTAAATTGATAAATTTCATTTTTTTTAGACACAAAAATTTAACCACCTTTTCTTAATTTTGATAAGATTATTAAAATAATTTATAAATAAAAAAATATATTATTTTTATCTCTATTATTAGACACTTCTAATTACTTTACTAAAACCAAAAACAATTGATTAAGTGATTAATTTTGTTTGAAAAAAAAACTTTTGCCTGTATTTAAAAAATATTAAATTTATATTACATTCTTTATAGTTAATAAATTTAAATAATAATAATATTAAAAAATATAATTAATACCCAACAAATATTTTATATTAAAAATCTTCAATTTCTTTTTAGAAGATGCCTTCGGATTAGTTGCAAATTAAAGAACCAACCGACCAACCTCTGTCAGTTGTTCACAAAGTTGGCAGGTGTGGCAGGAAACATTACTCCAATCTCGTCTTTCAATTTCTAGGAGTACAATGAGTCAATGACTCTGTAGTTTTAAATCATTAATCTCTCTCTATTTAAAAATATAAAATATTTTTTAAAAAATTAAATATTTTAAAATATAAAATATTTATAATTTTTTAAAATATAATTATTATTTTTTAAAAAATATTTTTATTAATAATAATTTTATATTTAGTATAGAATATTTAATAGAGATAAATATAAAAAGATAGAGTTAATTTAAAAGTAAGTAACTATTTTATTGAAAGATGAGATTCAGTTAAAAATATCTTATATTTTTTAACGAAGGGAGTGTGATCAACTACAACATACTAAAATGTGTATTTAATCTCATTTATAAATTATGGTATAATTTTTAGGTAATATTTTTAAAATATTTTTAAAATTATCTTTTATGAAAATAAAAAAGTAACATGATATTACTTTTTAAATTTGTTATACAAAAATATAGTGAAAATTTTGCACTTTTTATTTTCTTTATTTTTTTTATATTGATATTGAATAAATAGTCTAGAACTTATGCTCAGTTTGGAAGGAAAGAAAAGTTAAGAAGAAAAAAATAGAGAAAAAATAAAATTGAAGAAAAAAAATATTATCACCCATTTTATTTAGATGAACAAGAAAAAATAAAAAAGAAAGAAAATAGGCAAATGACATAATGACAATAGTACCTTTTGGTCATTATCTTCCTTAAAATAAATTGGAGTAAAAAAAAAAGACCATATCAATATTTTAACATCAAATAATTTGTAAGATATATTTTTATTTAAAAATGAAAAGAGATAATTTTTTAAAATAAAATATAATAACCCGTAAGAAATCAAATTAACTAACATTAATGAAAGATGAAAAAGCAAATACATAAATATTGATTTATTTTCTAAGGAGAAGTCTTTTATCATATCATTGTATTTATTTTTTAAAAATAAAAAATGAAGATGATGGTCGTGAAAGTGGAGAGGAATGTGTGTGATGTTGCTAGTCTAAAATAGTATTAACAAGGTTGACATAACAGCTAAGGAGATTAAGAATATTAAATAAGGATTTTCTTCTCAAAATCTCTCAACATGTGGAGAGAAAATGTGAGAGAAAAAAGTGGTAGAACCCACACTTTATTTTATTTCTAACTTTTCCTTCCTTTCAATTTCTCTTCTCAATAAGAAAAAATGTGTTTTTTTTCCTTACTTTTCTCTTTTAATTTTTTTTCCTCTCATAATTTCTTTCCAACTAAATAAGGGGTTAAAGTACTTGGTAATTTTTTCTTTGTTGGGTAGCATCGTGGTGAAATTACCCTCAAACATTATCTTGGTTTTCAATTTCAGAGAGTTTAATTTACTATCACTAAAATAAGGTAAGATAAGACACAAACAAGAATAGTAGCTGGCGATCGGCACCATGCATCAGTTGAATTTTTGAAAAGTCTTTACAGACAAGTAAATTGGCATGTACGATCACAAAGCAAGAGCATTAATTGTCTCGGAATTCGATTCAAGATCAGTAATTTCCAGATCAATAGTGATGAAGAAAAACGGAATTTTCGATCATAGCAACGTTTAATTGTGTGGGTCAAGAACCTATTTTGGTATCTTCATCATAGAAAGGAATCTTCGATCATGGTTCATCCGCGCTTTTTCTGTATTTAAATTATTAGAAAAGGCTTGCTTATTGTATAGTTGGTGTTGGTGGCGTCCCTCTCTATTGTCTTTTAATCCGTGTGATTCCATTTTAATTTCTAGATCATTAGTTATCATATTTTTCTGCTTCTACTAATTTCCAATATGTTTTTTTTTTTTTCAATTCATACTTGCTGCTCTATATATTCAGTTGCATA